GGGGCGGGACGCTGCCGAACCTCTTACTGCTTTACACAGTAAGAGGCGCAACAGCGCCTTGGAAGTGGCCAGGTGACCGCTTAAACCACTACGCCATCCGTGCAGTCGACAGGTTGATCCTTTCCGTTGATCCGAATCCTTTCGTAGGTTGTCACCGAGTGAGTAATCAGAATCAATTCTAGTTGGAGGGCGCATTCAAAGTGCTGTAACGCACTTTTGTCACTTGAGTTGCAGCTGTCCATGTAGTCTTTACTTTTTGTATAATCCACAAGCTTTCATTTAATATAAATGATAACACCTTGACACATCCTACACTACATTCTCTGATCCCAAACTAGGCCGAGCCTGTGCTACACTAACCAGACTGCTGATAAACATATTTATATATTTTTACATGTATACATAACTAGCTGTACCCTGCCACACTTCACTATGGCACAATATGGCTGCGTTGATGAGAATTGAGGAACAAAACTTACGCGAAAAATAGAAATAAACCATCCTTGAAACAGTAATTTTCTTTAGCGTACATAAACCAACTTAACATTTACAAATACCTTAATTGCTTTAAATGAAGATACTTGGGCAGCGGCAGTCACTGCTCATCAGGTGAACCATCTGCCGGTTTGCTTCCTATAGCCTAAAAAAAACATACTATTCAAGTGTTTAATAATTAAAAGTATGTTGCATTAAATTAGTGTTAATTATTATATCTGGGTACAAAAAATATTCCGCTATCATTTTCGTAAGCACTACAAATTAAATACGAGTAGAAATATCATGTTTTGCTGATAAAAATAAATTATAGTTTAAGAACAAACAAAAAAACTGAAATTTAGAATTTAGAAAGACAATTTGATAGTACGGGACTGATTTTTATGGCTATTATGCAACGTAGTGATGGCGGAATAGTTACTGTATTTTAAGTTTACCGGTTAAAACTGATTTCTCTGTTTTTGTAATAAAATGGTAGTATTAGTAGTTATTAATTATAACACTTACAATAATATAAAATCCTAGTAAAAAAAGTTACACCGACTTCAAACAATGCTAACAAAGAGCACTAAAATCTAGCTACAATCGCGGTTGATTTCCTGTTACGAGTATTTCTTGAAGAGTTCCGTTGTCTGTCTCGGAAACTCATCATCAGATCTATTAGAAATGTAAATGGGACCATTTCGAAATAAACTTCTTGCAAACAAAAAAAGTTTTTTTAAAAATACGCCTATATATGACGGAGTTATGCCCGAAAATATATAAAAAATAATAATATAAACCTCCGAATTGATGACCTCCAGGAACCTCCATTTCTTTTTTTAAGTCGGTTGAAAGCAATGGAATTCAGTGATGTTGATCGCTCGAAATTTCTTAGAACTTTTGTTAAATCACCGGGTTTTTGCATCAAGGAGTAAAAGTATGACTTGATAGATGAGAAAATTTTGTGAAGAAACTTTGAATGTGAGAACGAATTGAATTTGCCATCTTGGCTGCCTCATTTTTTTCTTTACCACTGTGAGCTTTGTTTGGTCTGTATTTGTAACCCGGTCCGGTAACTAAACGGTGACCTTAAGCTCTAGTTAATGGTTCTCTGAGATTAAAAAACGTGTTTTTGAGATTTTGTGAATACACTATCTCTTTTTGTGTTTTGACTTTCCATTTTACCCCCACACTCATATTTGGAGATATTTACTCGAAGTATATGTCACTACTTTCTATCAATGTGCGAAAAGAAATAAGTTTCGTGGTCACTTACGAGCGACTACAGAAATATGAGCTGTATTGTTAAAATACTATTATGAATATATAACAGTTAGGTTGTTAATGTCGTTGACTGTTCATAACGGCTATTTTTCTTTGGCTACAAATTATCATGTCATTAAAGTTTTAAAAAGGTAAAGGTATAAGTATCCTTCAGGTATGGTCAGCAATAACATTAAGTGATTGAAATAATTGAAATATTCATTTATTGACATAAAATACTTTTATTATTTTGATTATGCTCTTATTATTGTTAGCATTTTCAGTTTCTGATTTGATTGGTGTGAAATTTAAAAAAAGTAAAATATTTGTGATTTTTTAAAACACTTAAACTCAACATATCTTTATTTCATTTTTTAACTTGTTTGAAATCGTCTTAGACTCTAAAGTCATAGATCAACACACACAATAGCAATAATCTGTTTTATCAAATGCTTAGAGAAAAGAAGTTAATCTAATAATATGTCTGTGCCGATCTACAACTACCCGTTTCCAAGGGATGGGCCTTATGAAAAGAAAGGCCAAACAAACTCACGGCCACTCTTTTTCAATTGCAGCTAGATACAGTCGCATCATTAAATATATGACAACATTATTTTGTTGTGTGCGCCAGTATGTCAATTGTTAAGTACCTACTACAATATTTTTTATTTAGAAATATAAAAAACTGACTTTACATCTGCTTACTACTACAAACCAGGTGTAATTATTCTACCCCTACAGGGGTAAAAAAAGGATTAACATTTGCGGGTAACCGCTCATTAATTAATATGTCAAAAAGTAAACCTAACCTTTTTAATTATATATGATATCTAAAATAATTACCACCGATCGTAACTTTACGCCAACGTTACGATCGTAACGTTGGTGTATCTTAAGCAACTTGCTTTTGCTGACCGTACACAGTAAGCAGCACTTACTATACAACACCGCTATTAAAATTAGGCCTACTTGTTCTCTGATGCAAGATTTCTAATTATTTTAACTATCGTGTTACAGACTGACTGAATATTTCGCTTATTTGTATATGACGTGGGAGTTTACTTGACGTATAACCTAAATTGTCCTATAGTTATAACCTATAGTTATATTTTGACAATAGCTTTCAAATGTAATCATTAAATAGTTTCTGAACTTATTATAAACAGGTTATTTAACACTTAGGCATTTCAGATATTGTATTCGGAACAGAAGAATGTCGTAAGTAGTGAACAGATTTGTACGGGAAAGCCTGATATTTATTATTATATAATGGTATTGATACATGCTTTATAAAATTCGATAGCACCCTCGCGTACCGGTAGCATTTGCACGTTGAATCACAATGTTAATTTTCTGTGCAAGAATCTCTGCCGACGAGAAGCGTCGATCACTTGATATTATCTATTTCCTAGTAAACGGACCGACAATTGGAGCACATAACTCTAATGGCCTCTACAACGAAGTACTTAAAAACATAATTACCTATAAGTGTTTCTATATGACCTACAGGTCATATAAAAACATAAAAATAATATTAATAATTACATACTTAAAAATTGTTTTCTCAGCTAAATTCAAACAATTTGACCTTACGTCAAGTCGCAGACTTGTTGTCGATAATTTACATATTTTAACAATACTTATCAAGGAATAGCCTTCATTGTGTTGGAGCTATTAGGATTATTAACCGTTTTGAAAACAATTATACATACCTTAAATTTATCTTGGATTATTTATTGATATTACAAGAGTACGATTTTAAGAGTACCACACACGATCGGCAATGACGGACGTTTAATAACAGCTAAGCAATACCTAAACCAATGTTAATTAGACTTTAGATGCATACGTCAACGTACAATTAATCCGTAATTCAGTAATAAACGAAGCTAAGGTACAAAACAAATAATCGTTCTCATCACAAAATTGAGTCTATCTTGTTCCATATCCGGTTCTTTCTTGATAGGGAATAAAACCCGCCACCTCTGTCTTCGCAGTCAGAATTAGAAACACCGAAACCAACAGGCTAGTCAAACCGAATAATATATGTTTTTATTCTTATGTATCTAACTAGGTTTGTGGGTCTTTTATGATCCGATTTTTATATCACGCTTTTCGTTTATGCTTTACGATAAAATATTGAATATTACTTAGCGCAGTAAAAACCTTTTTGTATCAACCGTCATAGTCATAAAATAAGTTTTTGTGTTCGATTTTTATTACGTTTTGATAAAAAAAAAACTGTCCATTTTCCTACACACAAGTAGGAAAGTAGGGCGTTATGTTTACTGTCCCTCACGGTTTCATATAACTGGCCTGTTCGGTTCACCGGTTAACTCACCTCCGCTTAGTTTCAACTTAATTGATTTTATAAGATGCAGTGCAATTTGTTGTCTCTTTAAAAATATGAAATATACGAATAAATTATTCGAAATTTAAATCTTATTTTCATTAAATGGTATCTTTTAAATATACAAGTTCCATGATATATAACTATTAATTCGGGAAATAACGCGGTCAACAGGTATTACATACCTTTTAATTGCTGTTTCAATTATACTGCACGAGCTGTGACCATGGCCAGTTGGCGTTATTTTCCGTATTAATAATTATATGGTTGTATACTTATACAATGCGTACATTTAATGTAAGTTAAATTTAGTAAACTACAACTTTTAAACAATAGTAGAATCTATTTTAATATTTTTAAAAGTAAGAATTTCTGTGTTTTGAAGTCTATTTTTAACGTAATTATTAAGTTCTCATATATGGAATGATAATTTACCATTAGCGAGTATATTTATACACTTAGTTAGTTAAAAAAATATAAAGAGAAATTAGTATTTTTACTTTTATATTATACAGCATAGTTTTTTTGTCAATTAACATACTATAGAGTTCGTTGTCCGTTGGAAAAGGAATATTACATCAATGTTATCGAGTTTTATTGAAAATAATGCAGTAGCAGGTTTTTAAGCAACTCGCAGGTTGACAGAAAGATAAGGAGAGAGTGCATTGGTTACTCCAATGAACAAAATTTTTATCCAATTTGCAAATTAACCTAATTCTTTTTTCTCTGTACCTATCACCTAAAGGTTAACTGATTAACAAGAAGAATGCATGAGCATTCGTTTGCCTTAGCACTAAATGTAAATGAGTAAATATATTAAATAAAAAGCAGTTTCTGACATGAAGTTTTAAGTCAATAAAGCAAAGATTATTCTGTTGTTCGATATTTAAAATGACGTTTTCTTTTGCAGGTGGTGAATCGGACCACATATTCCATCTGCACGGATACAGTTTCTATGTAGTTGGCATGAGAGAACTCCATAGAAGTTTCGACAAAGATACTATAGTAAAAATGAACCGAGAAGGAAATTTGTTTACGAAGAATCTCATCGATCCAGTGATAAAAGATACCATAGTGGTGCCTAAGTTTGGTGCTGTAGCATTAAGATTTAAGGCTGATAACCCTGGTTACTGGTTGATGAGGGACGAACGATCAACGCATTGGACAAGGGGGCTTGACTTTATATTAAAGGTAGGTAATCAGGGGGACTTTGTTCAAGCGCCCTCGGATTTCCCAAAGTGTGGTTCGTATGTTGGACCAGAATACTTTCTTATATAAGCTCTAGTTTACTACAATACTATAATAGTTACCGTTTGTGTTATTGATCAATTTATTTATTTGGTTTGTGATATGTTTGTATAGGTTTACTCATTTTGTGCAATTGAATTAATTTTATATTCAAATTGAATATTGTAAAAAACTGGTTTATATCGTGCATTCCCATTTATTAAAATGTTTTTCTGATAGCAAATAGATTTTAATTAACAGTGGTTAAAAATGCAGGTCACTGACTTAATCTCTGAATTAAACAAATATTTGTGTACTGTTTCGATATTCGATAAATACGAGTATATATTTGATATCGGTGTCAATGTTTGTGAGAATATGTAAAATGTACTACAAAATACAAACTTAATACCGTAATTGAATGCCGTATGCTTTCGGTTATATAATTATGAATTTAACATTCATAATTCAAGGAAAATGACGTAAAAAAAATTTATTGCAATTTAAATGGGCTTATTAGCCCACTTTTATACCGTTGACGATGTTCTGTAATGTTGTAACGTCTAAAATGTTGGGCCTGGAAGCTTTTTAGTTATAATAGTTATAACATAATTTAAAGGGAAAACGAGTTCTAAGTATACCCATCAACATGCGCTGTCTTAAATACAGTGTATTACATAATTTACAAAATAAAAACAGTTCAGTATATTAATTTAAAGTACTTATTAAGAAAATTTATATGATGTGTAAATAAACAAATATTTTTATGAAAGTTCTTTTATTCAAATAAGTATTCGATTCCAGTGCAGTGAAATTGATTCCGGAAGAAATCGAGAATTGCGAATGCAGTCAGAATCGATTACAGGTCAATAGCAGTCTGCTAGATAGTATAATTGGAAAAAAGTCGAAACAATTTGTAGTCTTTAAATAGAATTTTGTTCATGAATCATATTTTTCTTCTGGGCAATTAAATGGATTTTTAGATCTACGAAGTAACCAAAAAATACCCATTAAATTTTTCTTATGAGCAATTTAATGGGTCTTTAGATCTACGAAGTAATTTGTTAAAATTACTTGATTAAATTTATTGGTTACTTCGTAGATCTAAAGACCTATTTAATTGCTCATAACTGTCCTATCATTTGGCTAGCAAATTCAACAAATTTCATCTCATTCGTTATTATGATGATTACAGTTAGAGATGCTACTGCAATGTTCGACTTTAGGAGAATTTAGGTAAAAACGTGAGGCCTTATTTTGGTTGCGCGACCAAATAGTGAAAGTGACAATTCAGTCGCCTGCAGTGAACAGAGTGAGTCTGAGTAAGCATGTTCTGCGGCCGCCGAAATAATTATGTTCTTCAATAGAACGCGGTGTTGTCACGGGAAATAAAAAACCTTATGATGCAAAGGTACCGCAAACTCTATTATAATAGCGAAAGTTGTTGGATTTCTGGAAATTTCAATAGAAATATTTGGATGGTTCGTGTTTTAGTAAATAAATGTAAATAAACATTCAATTACTTATATTTAGTGTCAGTAAAAAGAAGAAATTAGCCTTTAATTGCCACTAATAAGTTTTTCGGTAGGTTGGTTTGTCAGACTCAAATGGGTCAAAACTACCTCTATTTTCATTGACGTTTACCTGAATGAATTCATAAAAAAACTATAAAACGGGTGGTAAAACGTACCAAATTCGATAGATCCTCTTTAATGACTGCAGCGTTGTAAATTGCAAGTGTCAAATATCCTTTCTGAACAATGATGACATGTGTGACTCAGATATACCTTCTAGCGACCGAATGCAAGTTCGCTTCCAAATTTGTGAGAGTTCCGACCAACGCTCAAGGCGCTCCATTTAAACGGTGCAGTACCAAAGTACGGCCCTCACCGCCCTCAGTCATGCGTGCACTAATTTAGGCGGTCAATACCCCCGTTTAAATCAAGTAAGTAATTAACATTTTTAGAGAAGTAGGAGTACCAATTTACGACGAAGATAAATTAAATGTACCCTGCATTAATTTATCTTCGTTACGATTGTATAAAGTGTCAGAAAATACACATGACAGCAAATGTTGATCTTCAAAAGTTTGTTGAAAAAGGTATTAATTTCGCATTTACACACTCAAACATGACTTATAATTTGTGGGAACTTACGCTAACTAATAACACAACAATTGATCGTTAGAAAGCATTTTTAAAAGTTATTTGTAATAAAAAAAGTAACTTAACTCTTTTAACTTACAAAGAGTTTAAAACTTTAAATATACTTAAATTACAAACTAATTATATTTCCTATTCTACAAAAATAGAACAATTAAATAATTTTTATCAGTGCAATAATATATGTGTCACTCAATCAAATTTAATATACTTACAATTGAGTACATTGACAATTTCGTACCATTATTTAATTAGTTAAATCACACAGTATGCAAGTTTATCTATATTACAGATACAGGCAGAAAGAAACCTGTAGTAAAAAATAACCCAATTTGTGTAAGGATTTTTTTTTAGCTAAAACCTTTTTACTGAACACGTTAGGTGACGGAAAGAAGAGCAAACGGACCTCTAAAACCGTCAATCATAATCAAATCAGTAGTTAGGAAGTTCACGAAAGGTTTGGAAGATTTAGAAAGTTAAACAGAGAGTTTAGAACTAGTGGACTATTCTAAAAAATAACTGATGTGTGCTACGTGACTGAATATTTATCCTAAAATGCAAAGACTAACACCGACAGAATTCTTTTAAGCCTAAGACGAGTCTACTGAAATTGCCTATACACACGTGTTTAGCACCAAAAATAATGTTTTCCATGCATCAGTTTAGCAACTTTTTGAAGTATTCTTAAAATGCATTTTTAAGAATACTTTAAAAAGTTGAGACCTTACGTTTAATTTTTTAGTTTAAAAATAACAGACCAATAAATCTTCGTCACGTGATGACGACATGGATTTTCCCACGAAGCTTCAGAACTTTTCATTAGTAATCAGGGTGTTTGACATGCCTCCTGAATTTTAAATCCCGTAATCCTACACCTTTAGAGATGTGCTACATGTAAAAGGTGCTCCCGATACACAAATAAAATACGAAATGAATATTTATCAACCGAGTCTCGTGTCAAGGGATGCGTACAAAAGATTACTACAGAGTTGATGTGAACTATTTCGAGGCTGAATGCTCTCGACAAATACAAAATAAAAGATAGTACGTGTGGTGACGGATTAAGAATGCGGAGTGTCACCCCTATACATCCTGTGGGTGTCGTAAGAGCTGACTAAGGGAGCAAACTGCTATGGGCAACAGCACTGCAAGAAAACTTGAAACAAACCTTATATTAACTCGTATGGCCATCGTGGCCAAAACCTCCTTTTTAAGGAGAGTCCATATATGTGTATGTCCACCAGTGGACTACTAAAGGCTGTTGATGTGATGTGTGATGTGTAATAAAAGATAAACAACAGTCACAGGTTTTGTGTGACAAGAAAAAAGATTAGGTACCTAATATAAAATATTATAAAACAGTCAATGCCCTTTCAAATCAGTGACGGATATTTGGGTTTGAAGGTTGAAAAAGATTGAAAGCAATGATTGTTTTCTCAGTTTTTTTCATGGTACAGAGAACAAAGAAGAAGACGCGTCACTTAATGGCAACGCAATGGCAATGACAATGACTACCACCGTTCATAGACGCTTGAAACTCTAGAGAGACTAGACTATTTCTTCCTCCCTCATAATTAGAGGGAGGAAGAAATTTGGTGCGATTCTTTATTACTAGTAGAACTCACGGTGCCGTGGGAAACGAATATGCCTAAAGACCACGCTTTATAAAGAAATAAGTACTTTGACTTAACCTACGAAATAACTAAAAATGGTTATTTTGTTGTGTTGTATGCCCTGGAAGTGGGTGCGAGGGCTAAATTCCTCTATAACCTGCTTAAAGAACTTGGATTGACAAGAGCTTCAGTAATCTTTTCTTGAAAGAATATCCAAAGCGGCATTGTTAGGCTCGTATCGAATATGCTTAAGTGGAGGGGGTATCACAGCAGACAGTGGAGGTGAGCGCTGCCTAAACCTATACCTGGGTCGCAATTCCCAGGCGCTGTCGAAGTTTCGCAGAACGACCTCCGTCCTCCATAAGCGCAGGCCTGGGGGTGACAGGTGAGGCCATCTGTCACCCTAGCAGAAGCAGGCCGGGGTGGCGGCGAGCGCGTTGCGAAGCGCGCTCGCTTCCAGGGAGCACAGGGAACATGGGGTTCCCACACGGGGGGGGGTCGTCTACTCGTCTGTAGATGACCCGAGGAATGTCGGGGCACCAGGGACTTCCTTACAAAAAAAAAAAAAAGCGCCGTTGAAGTCGCATGTGTATACCCACACGGTAAATCCATGGAACGCTAAGAAATAGGTATTTTTCCAACTCCTCTAATTTTATTTTGATAAATTTCGTTGCGGGTTCCTAGACAATTTTATTTTTCCTGCGATTTCCCGAGTGTTATAACTCGGTGTGTTCGTTTGCGACTGCTGTTGATCTTCGTGTACAGGAGTTATACTGGTGGGCGTATGGGAGGGATTAGTCCCGTTCAAAAAAAAGACCAAACGTGTCTAAACTCAGGAAAGTTAGTTCAGTTAACCCGTCCTACCCACTTTTAGGCTTAGTAAAGAAAGTTTTGGTTTAGCAATAAATAATGTAAAATAGGACTTCCTCATGCCATCGGGATTTGAACTAACAATATTTAGAAACTGTCTACAGACTTCAAGGTATTGTATAAACACATTTATATTTAATCCAAATATTTAAGTTGGAGTGCCTATCTGACAAAAATCTTTTTCAAAAATTGGTAGTTCTCAGTTGATTGTTGTTGTTATGTGTATATGATGTTATTATATAAATTACATATCATTAAAAGTAAATGAAGTGTCAGAGCTTATAACATAGGTTCAGAATTAAAAGTCCATTAATATGTTACCCTAAACATATCACCTCAGCTGAATACTTTCTAACCATCTATCACAAGCTAAATCGTCTCTATACCATAGATTCACATCACAGTT